GGTAATCACTTTCACATAGGACTGGCAATATTTTTTACTGACAACTCCACAGAGCAATTACACAGACGCAATTACACTGTAAATATTCTTGTGTTCATTTTTTCAGCTTGCTTCAGATGCTGGCAGTTTAATTGCTATGACCGATGATGAAAAGAAACGACTGGAAGATCTCTTGGCTGATGTAGAAATGTTAAAGGAAGATGATGATGATAATGAGGTTAGACTATGTATATATATATTTGCTGTGGTTCACCCATTCATTTTAAGCGACTAGATGCTTTTAAGAAGATTATACAAACTATTTAATACCTCATTCACAACTTTATTTCCCTCTTCTTCATTGATCTTTTGCCACCCTCCCCTTTAATCCTCTTCTCTTCCATTACAGAATGCAGATGTGAATCCTTTCCAACTCAAAGTAGCACCAGGGTTTGGATTTCAACCTGATCAAAATGATGCTAAGACTCTACAAGATATTGATGCTAGGCTCCAGACATTATTACCAAAAGAAGATTTTGAATCTATTTGTAGCACCCCAGGAAGAACAGAATCCGAATATTCTGAGGTATGATGTACACTGACACAATTATTACCAAATGTAAGATGCTCACATCTGATGACATGAACTGATCAGAACTCACTTGTGATCTACTGTGACAATGTTGTCCAAATGTACTTGTTTTATTTATTACCCAAGACACATATCAGTGAACAAATTCAGTTCTATGACTTTGGATATCAATGACTTCTTCTTGCAATCAGTCACTACACACAGAAAACCTGAATAAATGTTCTCCTATAAATTGTGCTATAATCTCCAATGATGATTTGAATTCATTGTCAGTTTGATACAGCGCTAACTTTAAAACTGAAGACGATGTGCAATACTCAAAATCACATTGCAATTACTTTACAGTATAAGTTCAGTCAACACGAATACCATGGTAACATGGACCTAATGCTGCTCGGTGAGAGGGCACTAAAAGAAACTAAAGAGATGAGAGATCAGCAAAGTAGACTCAAAGAAATAGAAGATGAATTAACAAATCTACAACTAAAAGTGGAGAGTGAGGTAAGATTTCATTTCTGTATAATACTGCAAATATTTTTATGGTTAAAAAAAACCTGGCAGTAGTGCAACAGGTGTCCACGATACAATAAAAACAAATACATTACCACAAGCCTGAGGTAACCTCCCAAATACAGAATTACCATTTATGTCTTTAAAATGTCTTATCCCAATTTTGTTCTATTTGCTTTTTTATGGTAAAATGTTACTCAATAATAAAAATAATAATAAAATAATTTTTACAGATGTAATAAAAATATAGGGTCACTGTGATGTGCAAAATGTAGTGAAAATAGTATGTTTTTAAGGCACGATTGTCTCCTTTGTCATTTTATGCAGTTTTTCTGAGAAAAAAATGATTGATGGGACTAAAACTGATTAATTATAGACAGATTTTGATTTTATATTGTCATTGCTATATATGCTAAAATATGTGCACATATCAAAAGTCCAATATATGGGATTCCCGTTGATGAGGTCTTATATAGAACAGTACTTCAGATAAACAGATGGCATCATCTCAAATATTATATGGACTATGATTTTTCTGGTAAAATGCATTAATGTACAATTAAAACTTTCACTTGCAGTAGAAAAAATAAATGATATAAAAATACGTAAAAAAAAAATCCTAATACTAAATCTAACATTAATTGTGTAGCCATCTGTCTGTGTACTTTTGGTATAACCCTTCTAAATGTGTCTCATCTTAATTTCATTCTATAAAGATGGAATTCCCACACCTCAGCAATGTTCAGTTACACGAATTGCTTGAGCAATGTTCAAGAGCCAGTTCACGTGCGACGATAGAAACAGACGCTATGGCAAATTCACCTCGGTCGCCAGCCCAGAATTCTGTTTCCTCCATCTATGAAAGTCCACCTAAACTAGCTGATGATGTGCTGAGACAACTTTTAGAAGATGCTAGGAATGAATTGAAGATTGCCAGATGTAATTCCAGACTCAGTACTGTTAGAGAGGAAGATGGTAGCAGCATGTCACGCGCCTGCACTCGAAGTTCCAGCAATAATGATTTTGAAAATGTTAATGAAAGGGGTAAATGATATAGCAATTGTTTTCTTTCTTACACTAGGAGATTGAACTGGAATTGTTTTAAATTTGTGTACAGACATATGGTCTTGAATGATACCTTGAGTATTATAGTGAAGCAGATTAAAAGAATACAAGTTGCCCAGACCTCAAGCTGCAAATAAATACATGTCATATTGTCAGCATTGAAAACATAATCCTTATTTTACATCTCATTTTCTCATTTTCAGACATGCATGTGGAATCAGTTTCGGAGCTAACAATCCAAGAGCTGTTACACAATCCCAGAGCTACATCTCGAGCTGCATCAAGTGGCAACCAATCCCCAACACCGGTGTCATCTGAAAATAGTCCACGTTCTGCAAATGTGACGGACAACGGAGCTTTTACCGAAAGTGTGGGGGACAGTCAGGGTTCTACTCTATGGTCATCACAGTCTGCGATGTTCACACCGCGGGACAAGTTGCCGGGCTTGAGTGGGGATGCTGATGATTGGGATGTGGAAAATGTAAATGATGAAGATGGTGATGATGATGCAACCCCAACACCAGGAGAAATTAGTTACAAAGCTGGGTCATTGCTACAGGGTAGGAAAAAAGACACTGATGCGAGACAACAAAATACAATGTTTGGATCTGGAAATGGCACTGCAATAAATGAGAGTGATTCTTTTACGCCTACATTTGGAGATGATATAGCCAGCGTGGATGGGGAAAATGAAGAATCTGCCATTAGAACTGTAGCTATGTTTGCCGATATGAAGGGCAGGCCACTAAGCCACCTCTCGGTGATGGATGAGAGTGACTTCGTGGAAGATTATGTGGGATCAGATTCAGAGATAGATGATAATTTTGGTCAGGATGATGAAAGCTATGATGGAGAACTACGGGAATTACACTCCCCATCTGTTGACTCAAGAGCTAGTTCTCAACTTTCACATCCTCGAACTGAATCGGACATGAGTATTAGACAGTTACGAATTTCCAAATCTGCATTTGACTCTCGTCCAAGTTCGAAAGCTGAGAGCAACCGAACTGTTACGCCAATAACCCCAGATCCCCTTCCAAAACCGCCGTCCAAGGCTTCCAATGTGAAGCACAGTGCAAGAAGTGTGAAGTCTATAAAGAAAGGACTTGCAATGGTTTCTCGATCCGATCCTAGTGCTACTGAATCCAGAGCTGCCTCGCAGACCTCAACTATAAGATCTGATTCACAGGCATCCACAAACACGTCAGTTTCCTCGTCAGACTTTGAATATGAACATGACGATGAAATCCGGGCACACCTCATACTTGATGAAGAACAGCTTGCAGAATCCAGGAGATTGGCACAGGCACAAAGAAGAATGGCCAAATCAGTCAACAGATCAACCACATCTCCTCCACATCCGCCAAGTAAAGGTCACAACACCAGTAAGCAAAAAATGAGAAGGAAAATGCCAATGATAAGTGCCCCAGATGTGAAAGAATCAAAAACATTCAGTCCTCCTCTCCTGTGAGGAACATGAATTAAGATTGTTGGAGACATCATCTTATCTGCTCAATAATAACTTGTATGTGAATTCTCAAAATAGTATAAAGAAGAAGATTTTGATATTTATGTGTGTTAAGTAAACCAAATACTTGTGTCTGTTTATGTATGAGGAATTCTTAGCAACATGCAGTAGTTTGTCTGCTCACATAAATGTATATAAGTGTCTCAAATACTTTCTATAAATACTGCCCAAAGGATGTAGTATATTTTTCATTACAGGTTTTTCTGTGTGTACATATTTTGAACCGTTGTTTTATTTTGTATATAAGTTGTAACGGTTGTTTCCTCTACAGCTCTCATGCAGATTTTGCAATAAAGTAAAACACAAATTATGATAATGTTTCTTATCTGATATTTTTTTGGTATTTTTTCCTGTCTTACAAGATTGATTGTAGTTCACCTTGTTCACATGGCAGGCTAGCTCAGTAGAAACAAATACATGTAGTGGGGTAACCTGGTGCAGTTGCTGTATGCCACAATACTATCAAAATCTGTGACAGACTTGTTTACATTTAGCTATTCATTACAATCAGTTGACTTTAGGAAACAACAAAAGTCTTAGTTGACTAAGTTTCTGATACCTAGCATGTATACAAGGGATTATTAAAGTTATAATAATAAAGACTCCCACATCCATGATAAAGAGTTCCTAGGCCTAATAGTCTTGCAGGATATTGTTATTCAATGCACCAATGCCAAAGTTCTAACCAGACCAGTAAAATATCCCTTTAGTAATTGTTGTCTTGATTACTCTGACAAATAGATCCAAATCCTGAATACAGGACTTCTTCAGTAGACGATGGACACTTATCAACACATCGTACGTCATGTAGTTTGTATGGGTATTTACATCGTCTACATTCATAGGCGTTCTTGCAGCTGGCACATTGTGGCTGGTACAAAGCACATTCTGAAATCGAATAAATATGTGGAAGATAGTTACAAAATACTGAGACAATCATTTGTGTTCTCTCACTCAAGTTGCTTCAGCTAGAGATTTGAAATTGGACAGTGGCCTCTGTATAAAAGAAACAAAACTTTCTGATAACTACTCTCCCCCTGATACTGGTACTTGTAAAAGTGGTAGGGATGTGCTGCAAGATCTCCAGACCCCACCAAACCCTTTTACAGACATTACAAAATGTACTGTAAAATACTTTATTTTTGTCTGGAATTGATTTTCGCTATATATATTTTTTTCTATATTTTACATGGAGTATACTCAAACATGGGTGGTGAATTACTTGAGCCATTTCCCTGTCAGAATTAACGATAAATTTTACGACTTGGACGATCAATCAAAAACGCATTCTGGATATTTAAAATAAAGACAAGTTTTACAAAGTTTGTATAATAAGCTTTCAGAAAATATATAACATGTTGGATATATAATACGATCTTCATTGTCTAATTACTCAATTAAAAAGCAAGCCAAATAAACTGCATCTCTACCTTAAGCGATCTTTGGGCTTTGTAATTATAATTTCAGTAATGAATGCTGTAATTTTTCACTCCTTTCCAGACACCTTTGATCAAAAAGGGATTCCATTCCAGACACTGGCTAAAAAGGGATTCCCTTCTGGCGGCACGTATGTATACAACTTTTCGAATGAAAGTAGCCACCCTCCCCGTATTTACCACAGTGCTGAGAGTGTACTGGGTCATAATAATAACATGGTATACTTGATATTTGTGAATGAGTCCGATATGATATTAAAAATCCTTGAGATATTGTCCTGCCCATGCCTGTGTGTGAATGTGCACAAATTTGTCCATTTAAAAAACGAATGTCTGAAATCAAACCGAATTGTGTATCTGAAAATTGCGTGCGTGCTGAACATGTTAGTTAAGCAGTTCATTTACATAATAAACGAGTTTTTGTTCGTGCACCTCTAAACTTTAGTGCTACGTATTCTGGGTAAAATAAATGTTGTGTGTATGTTGTACCTGTGCACAGTCCATAGTATGCGAAGTAACCAATAGGGCAATTTCCCAGACAGACGCCGTACCTACAACAGAAATATCTCTTAGGAATTATACTGCGTTATTCTCCAATTAAACAAATATACCAGAGGGCGACATTCAATCGTTCTGAGGCACGTTGTGCATTCCACTTCTACAATATACATACTGTTCAAGCATATGTCAGTGTAACTGTGTTTTTCAATTACCAAAATAATCGGGGTGAGAATAAAAACGAAGGCAAGGTCGCCCGTCGTGTATATAAATCATGCAACTGAAGTGGCATTTAAGTGGAAAGGAAAGTGACTCTGTGTGAAAACACCAGTCTGAGTTCGAAGCATTTCCGTTCTGCAGTGTGGTCTTTGGAAATCTGCCAAACTTGTCATATTATCATCATCATCATCACCATCATCATCAATACTCACCCCCATATTTTGTGTAGAAAGTGTCCGTCAATGCACGATTCACATCCATCGCGATGCGTACATCTTCGACATGGCCATTGACACTCTAAACAAGAAAAGAAATTTCAAGGAGTTCAAATGTGAAAGGATCAAACAGACTCAAATTTACCAGATTTGTAAATTCTTTGTGAACACATAATGAGATTGACAGGCATAATTTATAGTATGCCTTCATTCATTCATCCACTCGAACTGTCACCCTAACGACGGACACCATAGTAATTGTGACGTCTAATGACATAGCATAGCGAACAAGTGGTAAATACTATTACATTACAAACAAAAAATGCTTTCCGCAAAATGAAATACCACATGGATACTATGCGTAATATTATGCCGGGTTCGGCAAGCGATGGGAGAAATTTCTTGTCATCAGCTACAACACGTATATCGCTTTATATACATATCTAAATATTATTCGCAAAATTATTCGTTGCGTAATCTTCTTCTTTGTACACAATGTAGTTGTCTCACTCAGGCTTTCCCCATCATAAGTCGAATGTGTATTATGCATGAACCCCATGAAGGTCAGACATCTTGGCACTTTCTCTGCTTTCTAGGGTATTGTTGTCCCGCAATTATTTTTTTCAATATCATCAAATTATGTCATTACCTCCATGTTCGTCATGTTAATCGGATTTCGAGCCTCAATGTCAACCACCCAAAAAAAGTACATATGTGAGACATTTATCGTGACGCATTAAGCCATACTCATTTTAGCAGTACAAGAAACAAGTTCCACAGTGTTTTTTTGACGGAAAGGAACTATATGTGCTTGTTCTGCGCTCGCATATTTCGTATGAAGCAAGTTATAGAAGGCATTTCAACTGAAATGAAACGGGGCGGCGAAGAACAAAACACATATTTCCACACGTCGCCATACTATCCAGACACATGCACCAGACACGCTATAATATCCTTGGCTGTACATTTTGATGACTCTTAATTTAACGACGTGTTTGGCGTTAAATCTTCCCAAATAGCTATCTCTGCATTCGTTGCGCATTGTCATTTTAAGGTTTAAAAGTTTGAAATTCGAAAAAAAGACGCAGTAATTATGACTTCATGATTTATCAGCGCTTATTGCATTTGAAACCAACCAAAAATACTTTCCCAAATAACGGCAATAGATGTTCTATTCGATTCTGGTAAATACCTATATTTAATAAATGCCTCTTATAAAGAGGTCCTTAACTTCTCGGCTTCCGTAATTCGTTACTTCTACGTCAGTAAGTAGGAGAACGCCTGTCAAAGCCAAGCAATAAAACATATTGAATTCATACGAGAATTAAAATATTCCGCATACTTACGCCATTGGTTAAGCTGTGTTTCCTCTCTCGTCGTCAGAACACATTGGCAACTAACACTAAAGACAACGAATACAAAGAAATACGTAGACGAAAACGCCATATTTGTGTTGTATACCGGCTATACGTGAAAGAATTGACGATTACAGAAGACTGAATGCCGGAAAGTATGATGGTTTGCAGATTTAACACTGGTCGGTCGGTTGGTTGGATGGCTGTATAAACACTGGAATAGACAATCCACCGTGTCAGACTACTAAGTTACGAAACAATATACCAACACGAATTTGCATATGATACTTCAGCTCTCCAAGAGCGCCAGGATCTTTGCCAGGAAATCGTGACCGTTGTCAAGAGAAATGAAGAATACGCGTGGACTGAGCTGCGTGAAACTTTTGCAGAACACGTTTATTGGTTTCACGACGTTAAAGTCATTATACTTGTCACATTTGGGACGTCACTGCTGAAAACAATACCACAGCCTCGTAGTGGTGTGAAAATAGCGAGAAGCAAACCACATTATTTTGGAAGAAAATGTAACAAAAGTTCTACCTAGTTATACGAGTTTATCTACATATTTACAAAATGTGTGACATGTTATTTACCAAGGTAGTATTAATAGTCGTCACATCTTTTGCCCGCAGTGCATTTTTGTACGGTCTAGCAGTCATTGCGATATGGACCCCAATTACTAACGATATTATGTCAGACGAACGTTAATTAAATTGGAGACAGCATGAGCACATATCTGCATGTACAACTGAAGCTGTTATATCTTGCAACACTGACAAATCTCGTAAATTTATATTATCAACTACCATATGTTAATTGCGGCAGAGGCCCTCATTAAATGGCATCAACATCTAAATTAATGCGAACAGGGTACAATTCGCCAACCTTTGAAAGCGACTCGTCGAAGAGGGCCACGGTACAGACTTAGTCCGATAAAGAATACCCCCCCCCCCCAATACGCCATTATGAATTAGTTACATTACAGTTAGATTGTAAGCACAGATGCATTTCAAGAAATGGACACGCTACAACTATGTTTGGGTCATGGACTGTGGCTATATATTGCTAGTTGTTAATTACAGCTGACAATGGTGTAGTCTGTAGGCGTGAATAAGCCCTCGCCGGCCGAACGGCATCAGACCTCACCGCCGACAAGAAATCGTCGGGGAAGTGAAAAACTACATCGTTCTGTCAGGCGTGTGTTGGGTTTGGAGCACCGAGGAGGGCGCAACGCACGCGACCTCGCCAGGCTAGCAATGGTGGTGCAAACAATATTGTTTAAAGCCCAGGGCACGTGGGATATTTTAAAACTAAATATCTACACACAGAAATAGAAGCTATAATATTTTGTACTTGTATATTATTAACAAGGGAATTTGTCTGGATTTTGTAAAAACTGTTGTGGCAACTGTTGACCAATATGTGTATACTAGTATATGCGTCACAATTTACTTTATTTTGATAATACCATCACCTTTATTTAGTAGATACTCTTACTATAAACATCATAATGTTTTCTGCATTTTGATCATTACATTTTATAATTCGTTTGCTATTGTAATTTCCAATTTGCTTCCCAATGGCATACACAATAGCAACATTTGTACAGTCACTGGGTGTCAACCGATGAATGGATGAAATATGTGTTGATCAAAAACGTGCAAAGACTGTACGTACTCAGTCTAGTATTAATTCAAACCCATGTGCGCTGGTTATTGCGAACGAATTATGTTGATTGCTGTCAAAACAACGATTTTTCCATTTTTAAAAACCATATCCTCTTTTATTTAAACATATTTATGGTAGAGTGTGATAGCCACTGTTGTGAAAAAAAAAGAGTAAATGATTTCTTTCATCTATAATTAAGTAGGACTGCAAATTCCCGAATCACGACAGATGCACGCGTAATCAACCTAGCAACGGCTGAGGTTAGGACAAAATACGCCCTGATTGCCGATAAAGCAGATAGAAGCGAAATACATACAGTCGTAGCGGAAACTGAAGATTATACCGACGATATATTTGCCAAGAAATTCCAAATTTGCAGATTCATCGAGAGAAATACGCCAGATATCACCCGCCAACGAAATACTCGAGAACATGTTGCCGTGACAACAAATTCTTCCTCCGTTAACCTACCGAAACTCGAACTTCCGATGTTCAGCGGCGATGTTATGAAATGGAAGAGTTTTGAAGACGCTTTTATCGCCGCTGTGGACAACAATATACACCTTAGTGCGGTTCAGAAGTTCCAATATCTTCGCGCCAAACTGTCCGGTGACGCCGCACTGACAATTGAAGGACTACAGTTAAGTAATGATAACTATACGCATGCACTCGAACTTTTACGTAAACGATACGGCCAAGAACACAAAATTACCTCAGCGTATATGAAGTCATTGTGCGAGTTACCAAAACCGATAAATACCCGAGATAGTCTCCGTACCTTTTACGACAATTTAGAAAGTAGCATACGCGGACTGGAAGCGTTAGGGAAAACGGAGAACTCCTATGGTGATTTGCTTACGCCACTCATTATGGAAAACTTCCTGGGAACGTTCGGAAACAGATGGCACGGGACCATGGCGATAATGAATGGACACTTCCCGACCTACGCAAAGCTTTGTAAAAAGATCCTATACCCCACATAAACAACATTGAACTGGCAACCCCGGAAGATGAAAGTGGCATATTTTAAACATTTTTTGAAAAATCTCGGGTAAGTTATAAAAAGCAATAGAAGGATTTTTTGCAGAGAAAATGAAATGAAAAGTGAGACTGAGTAAATATGACCAAGACATAGTTTTTCAACCAAAAAGCTACTCATAAATACGAAAATACCCCGTTCTGCGACTCTTCCAGTTTGGAATGTTAGCGAACTCTGTCTTACCTTCCGGTTTGTTGACCTCGGATTAAAATGCACATTGCGCAAGCGCACAGACGATAAACGTGCAAACTCTATCAATTCGGGAATCTGGAATTGGTTGCAAGTTTAGGACTTTGTAGTATACCGGTGTCAACCATATATATAAATGGTTTTCATTGCACCTCAGAAGTAAAAATTGTCATTTTTGCATTTTTATATTTTTCTACCAAATGCTCAACTGAATTCTTCGTAAATTTTTATACAATTTATCACCACAAGAGTAGCTTACAAATGTTATATATAACCTTTTGACCCCAAAAAGGAAACAAAAAATATCATTTTATTTTAAACCAAAATATTTTATTTATTTTACCTTTTTGGCAAAATCTTTACTTGTATCTTTGCAACATTGTAATTTGTTTTATCATAATTATATACACGAGTGAATCACACTGGAATTCTGAAATAATTCACATAACTATTTCTCAAGTTATGGGTGAAATCATTTTCTTATTTTTTGCAAGTGATGTTGTGATGTCATAATTCACCCACAATTCTTTGCTGGGAGACCAACGAGGTGGTCAACGCATAATATGTATACATATAGAACAAAAAGTGATAGAAAAGCAGTAGATTGCTTTCCCGGTATGTGTGCAGCTCTCCCATTGTTGTTAGCCTAGACCTTCAGGCATGCCGTCTCCTTACATTACAAACAGTTGGTTTGAAAATAAGAAAATTTAGAACATTTCTACGTACGCATGTGTCCACAAGCTCTGCTTGAAATGTTCTTTTCGTACTTGTAATCTTTTAGTGTTTGACCTTTGAACCTAAAAAAAGGCGTGTCGCTCTGAAATTAAGATTACCTTCGTACTTTGCATCAGGAATTCAGTATACGTTTATGTACAGACTGTTATGACCACGTGATACTGGATACCAGGGATCGTGACGCATTCATTGTCGTCCTCCGTTCCCTCTAAGCATAAGTGGTGCTAAGCAACTATTGTTATTTTCTTTAAGAAAGTTTTAATTTTACATGCATGACATTGCGATAAAGATTGATCAGATGACATTTCGCTGCGCATCTGTGTACACAGCACGCATCACCTGCGGAATTGATATTCGAACAGCCAGTTACATCGTGAAAATAAGGAGGAATCTATTTGGCTTCGGAGTACGTTTGAAGTTGGTTTATTTAGGGCATTCGTTCATAATGTCTATACGAATACAAGTGACCGTGTAGTTTACAATAACCATATGAACACAAATGTGTGGTTCACAATCTCCATATGAATACAAGTGTGTGGTTCACAATCTCCATATGAATACAAGTGACCGTGTGTTTCACAATCTCCTTATGAATACAAGTGACTGCGTGGTTTACAATTTCCATATGAATACAAGTGTCCGGGTGGTTTACAATTTCCATATGAATACAAGTGTGTGGTTCACAATCTCCATATGAATACAAGTGACCGTGTGTTTCACAATCTCCATATGGATACAAGTGAATATGTGGTTCACAATCTCCATGTGAATAAAGGTGGCCGTGTGGTTCACAATCTCCATATGAATACAAGTGTCCGTGTGGTTTACAATTTCCATATGAATACAAGTGACTGCGTGGTTTACAATTTCCATATGAATACAAGTGTCCGGGTGGTTTACAATTTCCATATGAATACAAGTGTGGTTCACAATCTCCATATGAATACAAGTGACCGTGTGTTTCACAATCTCCATATGAATACAAGTGACCGTGTGGTTTACAATTTCCATATGAATACAAGTGGTCGTGTGGTTCACAATCTCCATATGAATACAAGTGTCCGTGTGGTTTACAATTTCCATATGAATACAAGTGTGTGGTTCATAATCTCCATATGAATAAAAGTGACCGTGTGTTTCACAATCTCCATATGAATACAAGTGAATGCGTGGTTCACAATCTCCATATGAATACAAGTGACCGTGTGTTTCACAATCTCCATATGAATACAAGTGACCGTGTGGTTTACAATTTCCATATGAATACAAGTGGTCGTGTGGTTCACAATCTCCATATGAATACAAATGTCCGTGTAGTTTACAATTTCCATATGAATACAAGTGTGTGGTTCATAATCTCCATATGAATAAAAGTGACCGTGTGTTTCACAATCTCCATATGAATACAAGTGAATGCGTGGTTCACAATCTCCATATGAATACAAGTGACCGTGTGGTTTACAATCTCCACATGAATACAAGTGTCCGTGTGGTTCACACTCTCCATATGAATACAAGTGATCGTGTAGTTCACACTCTCCATATGAATACAAGTGACCGTGTGGTTCACACTCTCCATATGAATACAAGTGACCGTGTGGTTCACAATTACCATATGAATACAAGCGACCGAGTGGTTCACAATTACCATATGGATACAAGTGTCCGTGTGGTTTACATATGCATGCGAGTGTGGCAGTTCATTAACTCCATATGAACAAAGACAGATATGCCTTTGCGGTAACGGGATATGCCCGGTGAAAGATGTGGGTCAGCGACGAGAAGTTTAGGAGTATGCAGCATAACCTTCTTAAATTTATAAGTCGTCTATGAACAGCTGTTTTCTAATCCGTATTTGCCCTCCTGGCACAATACAACTATTTCTAATTATTGAGTGACTTACACATATTGACCACCCTTCCCTTTTAGCTGTTATCAAGATCGTTCGCGGTGTTCGACCTATAAAACAGAGACAAAAATGTATTACAATGTATTATGGCCATTTAAAAAAAAGCATTAATTCGTTGAAAAAATATTATCCATCAGATGGACAATATGTAGTGGCTAGTGGTAAGATGGCTACTTCAAGTTGTCAGTTGACAAATTATTTTAAAATTCAGATCATCTCAATTTCATAATAATTTATGGCAACTTAGCGTACCCGTCTCATAACTATATATGGTGTTTTCAATATAGGTAACAACCGTGGCAATTTGTACTGATACCTATGGTTAATCGCCCTCCCCTTTTAGGGATGAATGGAAGTAGTATGACCATTTTGTTATGCGCGATTTGTGAACAACGACATAAAATCAAACCACATTGTTCAATCATAGAAATCCGATGAACTATTTTATTGGCAACCAACTACCTGTGTAAGTTACTCAGATATTCAATACATTAATAGCGAGAAATTTCGCCTCTTTTATTTTCAACATAATTCTATCGCGTTTCAAAACTTGCATAACAAATGAAAGTGGTTTGCCATAAATAGTATTGTCTTTGTCTACTGTCTAAAGATATGCAGTTCAACTGCGACGCCCCTTTAAAACAGACCAATGTATAGATGTCGCCATGCATATATAAATAGTAGTTAACGCCAAACAATAGAACGGATAGTTTTTGTCACCTTGCTCCGAGAGGTCAAAGTAGTTGTCTTAAACGAACCACGGACACCACAGAGACAAAGATATTGGCAGAAGTCGTACCGTGATTTACTCAGTGCGCTGCGAAGTGCATATTACTCGGGATTCCATTTAACCGTGTGGTGTACAATTTAGTTTTATCGCTGTGTTTACACTTTCAAAAGCTAGTGTCTCTGACAGTTTTCTTAGTGTGGGAGTCAACAAGTGGCCATTTTGAAAACTAAGGTATGTACGACACGTTCAATGAAGTACGTTGACTTTTACAAATCGATAAGACTATTGTAGACGATAAGAACTTTTATTGCGAAGAGAATACACTGTGATATATTGAATGCGGACTAATTGGACAATAGTTAGTGGTGTTAAGGTGTGCGTCGAAAAGAAAGTGAACCTTGACCTAATTGGCTCCTGTACCAAACTTACTTTTAACTTATTAATCGTTGTCGTTTTTACAGATTATTTATTCCATCGCAGCTGATATATAAAGAAGACCGGAACTATGTTGAAACTACATACTATACTGGTATTTCTATTTGTGCTTTTACTTTCTCAGGGTAAGTTGAAATCAAATGCGAATTTTATTACCACCAAAACAATTTGCATATGAACGAATGTGTTGTGTTATTTACTGCGTTTGTCCTCCTTGCCGAACTTTCATTTGGCAATGATTTTCACTTGTTTTGTTGTGAAATCGCTTTTTGTGATCTGTAGTGAATTCTCCTACATAACGTGTAAATTGTCGTCGTTTGGTGTCAATGTTCCGTGTTTTACGATGCGTTCATTCAACCATTTACGAGTGTTATGTCGATCTTGTACGTTTGCCGAAAAGAAAGAGAGCAGTCGTAGGACAATGACGCGACGCCACGATGAAATGTACATTGTTAGAAACTGTTTAGATTATAAATTACAACACTCTTTACCAGTGTTACCGCGAATTTATAAACCGTGTTATAACGTTTTTATAAAAAGTGATGTTTATATAGGCGAACCTTTATATTTCCATGGGAAAGTATTAGATCTGACATATAGTATTTTTTGTGGTAGATTGTGGTAACCTTGTCCCGTCTCTGGCCTTTGGAAACAATTGGCCACTCCTTCAATGTACGCTAGTTGGCAGCGCATGCACCGAAATAGAACAAGTCTTTGTCCGGCTATGTTTGTACAGAGGTCGAGTAACGAGACCGTAACAATATATTACCAGGTGGTCACGTATGCCCCTGTTAGTTATTTGACTACTCACGTTGCTCTCAGCAACTACAACACGGCAAGAGGTAGTACCTCTTGGGTAGACATGATCCATTAGGTGGCCATATTAATAATTACGGATATTGGGGTTGGTAGTCATTCGATTACGCAACATAACGCATGGTCGCCTCTAATTTTGAGGAAACTGGGATATTCATATTTACTGATTATCTGATAATTATCGACGTTATAGATGAGTATTAGACATAGTATTCAATATGTGTTCGACTTTGGTTTTCTTGGTGTCCAGTGGCGGATCTAGGGAGGGGGGGGGTGCCCCTCAAACGCATGACCCTGACGATTCATATCATCTGGATTACGCATAGCTTCTCTGCGATTTACGCTCCGTATATTTTAAGCGAAGCTTGGACCCCCCCCCCCCCCCAATACAATTTGCTGGATCCGCCACTGTTTCCCGATAATTTTCGAAAATTTAGACAGCGGCATTTGAGTCAGACTTTATTTTTTTTTGAAGACAGGATTATCAGACCCCCATCACAATCTATCTAATGTCAATCTAATGTATATCTAAACAGATAATTATCAGATAATTGTATGATAGTTCAAGACTAAAAAAACAATATCAGACTCGATAATTATCGATTTTTTAGATTGAATTCGATAATTTGTAGTTATCTGGTTTGAAAATATTTTAAAATCGTCGCACTGTTGGTTTTGTCCAATACTTATCTTAAGACCGTCTATTACAACAATAATAGTACATGTTCAACTTCCCAGATCATCTTGGAGTTGTCTCAACAACCGACGATCCAAGCGCTGAGACAACATTAGATCCTGAAGTCGAAGCAGAAAATGAAGGTAAGTATGAGAGTTTACAGAGTAACCCCAAATACTTTCCAGTTTGATGAAAAGTTTTCTTGACAAATTCAACGCTGTGGTAGACATGTCGAATATCTTCAATTGAATTAAAGGGACGAGGCCGCCAACAACAACTCGAATAAAATCCAGCTACCAGTCAGTAGTTGCATTCTTTTACATGTAATTTTTATTATGAAATTTGTCAGTGAATTTAATGTATCGTGGTTTTTATTTTAGATGTCAGCTTAGCCGTTATATTGGCTGCCTTTTTCTACGCACTGCTTATCGTTAGTGTTACCATTATTCTTGTGGCGTGTGTTTTCTGTAAGTGTTGTCCCAAAGGAAAACAACAAGACACAGAAGCGTAAGTATCGACGTATTCTGTTCTGTAACACAGTCTACGATAATATCTGAGTACAACTGTCTTTATCAGCTATATAATTATGGCGCATGGTTTTGTCAATTTTAGTTTAAGTTTGTACATAAATACATTTCTTTTCAATGTACAGGCTCGAAGTTCAAGAAAAGTCCGACCACAAACTGGATGGCATCAACAACCCTGGAGCAAATGTACAAAACGACAACACGCCATTATAAGAGGCAAAACGATGTGACAGGCAACTACATGTACGTGCAGCGTCAATGTAGCTTGGGAAGACGTGTTGTAAACATCGGACACCGTTGGTGGCTAAGTTTCCTTTATATATAGGAAATTGTGACCTATATTATTTTACATGATTTTAAAGCGTGTCACCGTGGTATATGTTTGTATCTTGTTTGCCGACCGTTTCTCTTTCTGCTGTATTTGGATCTCAAACACGCAAAGAGTTTTACTGATCTTCTCTATTCTGAAATTACATGACTATCATTGAAGTCCGACCGTAGACCACTGGTATATGGCCGATCTTGCCCAAACGTGTATAAACTAATTGTCTATCAATGGTTGAATGTGATCAATTACGGCGACGCCATGTTCTTTAAAACTACTCGCCATCACTATAGCAACAACGTACCTTGTTGAAACAGGGAGTGGCTTTGATCGCTTCTAATAAATAATGGAGTACGTGATTACTGATTACTATGACGTCAGACGTACTTAGAAGCAACAATAAAAACGACCAAAGCCTCGTATTTTGATCAGACCCCTGTAATTATTAAAAATGCCTGCCGACTGTATTTAATTCGATCTCATCCCAACACCATAATCAGGCAGTATTAACAAATATTGGGTTTTATTGGTATTGTTTTTTTTATTACAAACTATTAATTTTTATTAAATAAAATAAATTGTGTTCACTAATCTTTCTTGTTGTCAACGTATGGGATTGTCTGAAGCTCAAATGCTCGGTAAATATATGAGAACCAATTTTATCAATGTTATGCTTGTCACTGTTCACGTGACTAGAGCCACCAACTTACTGTATATATATATTGAAGCTGCAGAGGGCAGTATAGTACTAAAGTTCCGTGTCAGAAATTTGCCGAGAGGGGTATGATGACGGGCTCTAGGGTTCCCAGCTGTTTCTGTAAACCATATTGACATACACAACGAGTGTCAAATATATTGGTGCTTAAATCAAGAAAAGGAGTTTATTTTAAAGGGCGGTAGTCGTCACGCCACGCATGCGCGAGATATATGGGTCTCATGAGGAGGCAAGGAGGTAGCTGGTACAGTTTTACGAGAAATAAAAAAGGCTTTTTACAATGTACAAGAAAAAAAGACGTTTTTACAGTTTACAGTGAAAATTGAATTTTGCAGTGAATTGTCATCTAGTCGTTTTACAGTTTCGAAATGTAATTTTCTTGAATTATTCATTACGACTTTTTTATTTGGATGTAAATTCTTGTACGTACCGAGAAAAATGACAATTTTTTACAGTGTACGAAAAAAATATTTGATTGATTACGTTGTACGTCTAGCCTGTGAATACAGAATTACGGAATTTATTTTTTCAATTTACGTTGTACGAACAAAAAAATATTGCAATTACGTTGAACGAAAATAACCCGTGACCCCTCTACACAAAGATGGCGACTTTGACTGTTGCCCAGAACAACGATTACAAACTGAGACGATTCCAAGTTTTAATAAGGCAATTTTAGGTGATTGGAATGTATCGAAGGAGTCACCGGCGGAATTAGTGCAAGTCGCGCCCGGGTCTAATCTCATACTTTTGATTTCCATTTGAAGAGCACATTGGATTGTGGGAAAATCAATGTTTATCAACACAAATGTCGCACATGCGCACCACCCTGAACACGTGTCACGGGTATATTTTCAGACAAAGAGTCCATATTAAATTGAACACATCGGGAAAGAACATGTCAGAGAATAATACAAAGCAAATTAAATTGCTTCTTGTACAAGTCTAGTGAAAATATTAATTATTATATCATATTATAGTCAGTGAATTTCAGGAATTCATTGAGGCAAACCTTCAATACATTTAAACACAAACATTCTGTGTGAGCATTAACAAGTATTGACTCGGTGAAATACAAACAGGGTCCTGGCTCTGTGATCCACGTGATCCAAGAAAAGCCTGCGAAAAGCGTTGTTATAATAAACTCTCAGAAAATTCAGATTTCATTTACATTGGGAGCAACATAGTTGACAATAGTACAAGCTGTATTCCCTATGTACGCGAATTGTTTAACAGAAATAAAAACTTACGAAACATCACTGAGTTTGATACGACAGGAAAAACACATTCGGTCTTACTCAGTAGTTACAAATAATGCAATGTTCAGTGGCGTAACGATCATTAGACACGAATATGTTTTCTAAGATCACCCGATAGAGGGCGCAATAACATACACTTCGTTGGCATAACTTGAGTTAACGAGTGACGCTGAATCATCAGAGCATTCAGTTTGTGTGTTACGGAGCTGTACATTTGATTCATCGATGTAAACATTAAATAACTTTGAATGCAGGAAACACAACTCTACCTGCATTAGTTACGTATAACAAACGAGAAGTAAAAACTTTATCGCTTAACTGAATAAAGTGGCAAATTATACCAGTTGATCAGCAAAAGGATAGTATATACAAAACTGTTAATTATAATAAATTTATGAAACAACGCCCAGTGATTAACCCCACCAAATGCTTGAGAAGCACCAGGGAAACAGACTACGCTGCTACCGAGAGAATTGCAGGACGAAATGCTATATGAACACAAACACAACGTGGTCCGAGTCTCTTTTGTGACCCCAAATTGATTATCTGTTGTCACCATGCAGGTACTTTTCTCACATTTACTTATGTGTGAGTGGAAAGTGTTGTCAGTATAATGGAATGGCAATATCTCTGTATGACATATTTGTATACATATGTCCTTACAAGTTAGTTATAAGACATATTTTGACATTATATATGGGTATATGCACGAGTAGTTAATGTGACAGTACCTTGTCGCTGGATGAGTAATTTTAGATTTGTTCGTTTCGTTGACAAGTGGAAGGGTACTGTCAAATGCAGAAATATGGCTGGTGCGTAACAGAAGAAATTATGGTCGTGCATAAGTAAATAAATTATAACCGCATAGAAAATGTCAGTTGTGCTCAGTGTTTTGTTTGACGTCATGTTGAGTAGCACAGAATATGCTTGACCTTGGCCTTCTCTGCAGATTTATAACGCGTTATCACGACTATCCATGTGATTGTTTCCATGTGACGTATCCGTAGACATTACGTGCATCGTACAAATCACACGAGTCGTACATTGTGATACGGATTCGAGGTTTGAAACCATTATATACATAAAATATAATATGATTATATCACAGTCCGTGATTGAGGGACTTTGATTATATATAGACTTGTTATTTTTATATTGGTGGAATCTGCTGTGTTAATCGTCATAGAAATCAATAAGCCGTGATTACAATAATTCAAATTGGCGAAAATGTTTTTCGCAGACCGTGTGGTTGTGCTACAACATACATTGTGATTATTGGAACCAAAATGCGACACAACACGCTCATTTGTTTTAAATTTTAAATCTCAATGGAATTATCTAGAGCGAGCCAGAAACAGTGAGTCCTGCACAAACTCACTACATCGACAAGCAGACGTAATACAGACGAATTAAAGGGCGGCAGTCGTTGCACTGCGCATGTGCGACATTTGTGTTAATAAAAACTGTTCACTTTCTAAACAGCTAGTTGTATCACTAATTAAAAAACGATCAACTGTTCAGTTGAAATATCTTTTGCTGGATTTCGCAGGTAAATGTTCGATTTGAATTACTATAGCATTTAGTGTTACTCAGTCTCTTTGTGTAAATTAGGGCGACACGTGCTGCGAACGAGGCTGCATGAAATACGTAAGTTGTCTAGTATTGCAGCATTTTATCAGCAATACTCGGAGACATACTTTTAACACTCTTAAACACATCCGGTTTTACACTCCGCACATAAACAATGCTATTGGTATTTTGAATATTTCTAGATTTTAATTGACTTAAAAAGACGTGATAGAGGACATATTACAATCTTTAAAATCAACTCAGGCAGTGTTGCTTGAACTTAAACAAAACAAAACAAATATTTGACAAATAACACTTACTAAATAGTTCAGTCTAAACGAATATAATAATAGCACCATACACACGATTTGATCTGACAAGCATCTAAACAGTCGATTCCGTGGAAATCAACATTGATGGGACACACACATGAAATGAACAATGGTATTATTATTTCATGGCGACACATTCTGTTGAACTGGTTTAATAATAAATATGGAATATGCATGTATTAATATATAAATATACAACGAGGATATGCATATAGATACAGCGCATGCTCAGAACATATATACACTTGATTTCATTAAAACGTAAATACAATCGAATAATATGACATGATAGCACCAAGCGGCAATTACAAAAAATATAACATAGCGATTTTAAAACTGATATGCCTAATTCAAACCCACCCCATACCCTGTTGAATAATGCGTAATACAGCAGAAGAGCTGTACAGCCATGACACTGTAATCATAACTTGTGTTCTTTTAATGACACCTCTCTATCGTAACGAAGACACACATCAACAGCGAGTTTATGTTATTCATGAAACGTCTACATTTTGCGCCAATATCAAACATGGTTACGGAATGCAGACAGACGATCAGCGTCCACGGTTTAAAACAATACATTTACAGTATCTGATTCGAAAAGAGACACGTCGATGCAGTTATACAAGGAACTGGACAATAAATAAATAATCACAGATTACAAAGTTTTGAAGAAGAAAATTTATACAGCTTTAAAATATCTCAGTCCCAAGCTCCGAAAAGTAGGCAAATTATTGCTCTTTCTTCTCACAACGAAAAATGCAATATATATATATATATAGATGATTTGATTAAAGAAAGTCACGTGATAGAAATGTTTAATAATAAATAAGGATTTTTTTTTTTTACTTTTTCTCTCTTTTGAATGCTCGGTAAAAATTTAGTAATGTACAAAAATAAATATCTTCCTTGACCAGTTTTCTTTTCAGTTGTGTTTGCTTCTCTGGGCTAAATCTGTTCGCGCCACCACGATGACGTAACTGGTCAACATTATAATGCTGATATCACTATAGTAGTTGCGTCTACAGAATCTTTGGTGTAATCTTTTTGTGGACGGTAGTCACGTGGTCTGGTCATCTGGGAAAAAAATGAGAGAAATGATCAATAAACGCCACAATAACGTGACCTCGATGTAAGACATGGCGCCCCCTATCGAAGAGTGGTGTCGTCATTTCGAAAAAAAAAGTCTAAATATTTTGTCATTGCAAGACGCTAATTGGCAGCCAATTACTAACGTGTTCAAAATCACATGATAGCATTCGATCTCTTACCTAAGATATACACTTGTATTTCATGTCCGAGAAGAAGACCATTTCCTGGGAGAACACGAAGAGACCAAGACGACCGCCGCCGAACGTTGTATCAAATATGGCACCAGAGTCAGCCATCACCCGACTACCCTCATACATCACAACTCTGAAAAAAGAAACGAAATTAATAATTAAATAAAGCATTCTCCGTGGATCGACCAGAAAATAAAGCAGCGTGAATTTCAAGAGCAACAACAAATGAATCCAAATAGAAAGATGTCTGATATAAACAAAGTTTATAATCGGTGACTTTACCTCATGTATCCTGTAACCGGTAGATGCGTTAAAGTCCACCTGTAAGCAGTAAAGTCCTTCCAACCAATGGCGTTGGGGTCGCTCCAGAGAAGCTTCACTTGTCCCGGAGTATCACCTGTATGCCAGAGGGCGTTTCTGAGCCTTTCACCCGGACCAGTGGTGGAGTTTACAAGCTATGAATACAAACAGTACATGCACGGTTAGACTTAACGTCCATATGTCGACTCATATTTGACAATCACATGAATAATGATGTTAACACATTCGATGAAATTAACTCATACAGGAAAGTATTTCACAGTTATTAAATTCCACGATCCCATTATGCTACAATACGGTAATTGGCGTACTAAATGCGCTCTGGACATTTTCTAGCCCATTAAATTGTTTCCGCCTGAACGATAAATCTCACTAACGATATCCAATTTCCTATGCCATCTGGCATCTGTACAGCGGATCGTAGCTGTTGAAACTTACCTTAATTTGAAGGCCTGCGTGACCGATTGCTTCGGTGGGCGTCTGCAGCCAATAGCTTTGATACATTTGCTTCCACATAACGGCGTAGAATTGACTACTTGACTGGAAGCCAAACACAAATCCCGCATAGTCGTCGTCGCTATCTGTGTTGATGTAGAAGGTGCCACTGAATTCCACGGCGTCGAAGAAGTCATAACCTATGTTATTAAAACAAACACGTTTCGTTGGAAATAGCAACTAGTGTAAATCCTGGCAACAACGGCATGCAGTATCATATAGCACGCAGTCCGCGTGAAGCTATGCATATTATGGACTAGAATTATAATTTGTTGCGGTGTATCTCACGATGAACACCAATTCTTACCGACAGCAAGACCGGGGTCACTATTAGTTGTCTGGATAAGTTCCTTGCCCCTGTTCCTGACAAGCCAGTTAGGGTCGATCTGGGAGTCTCCCTTAGGGTCAAGCGTGATAGTCTGAAAACTGGTGAAGTCAGTTTGCCGGATCCATCTATGTTCTGGGCATGCGTCGAATTTATCTTCCACGCCGTCTCCATCGAAGTCGTTATAGCATGCATCACCCACGCCATCGTCTGTAAGAAAAAAAAACATCAATGGTAAAAAACGTTAATGATAAATTAAGTTAATACAGCTTTGATAATTATGTAACACGTTAAAAAATAATTGTATGTGCTTTAACTCGTAAATAGAACTCACCATCGGAATCCAGTTGGTCTTGGTTTGCAACTAATCTGCAATTATCGATCTCGTCAGGGACGCCGTCGTTGTCATCATCGTCATCACACGCATCGCCTGAAAAGTAAAGCAAAACATGTAAAAACACGTACGATTGAGATTATATTACCATATGTTTCTTACAGCAGTATTAATCGATAATTGCAATTTACTTATATTTACCAATGCCATCTTCGTCGGTGTCCAGCTGGCTTGAGTTTGGCTCATCCGGGCAATTGTCGATGTCGTCTTGGTGACCATCTCGGTCCTTATCTAAATTAGTATCGCATTCATCACCGACCCAGTCATGGTCTTTATCGCCCTACGAAAGAATAAAGTGTTTTTTATTCGTTGGTCGTATATGTGAATAGTACAGATGAACGAGAATTATCTATGTGGGAGAAACAAAGAATTAGATTTCCAAACAGCGGTTATCGACCCCCCTCTCTACCCGTAGCATTCACGGTTGTACAGCACGTAACTACAGTTGAGAATATTTACCTGTTCACTGTTAGCGACGAATTTGCAATTATCGCACAGATCGCCAACACCATCTCCATCACTGTCCAACTGATCTCTGTTGTCCACCTTCTGACAGTTATCCCGTTCATTTAGTATACCTACAAAAACACGCAAGATTTAGACATGATACTAATAAACGCTATGGTAACGACGATATTGGTAAATATTTGTTCCTTTTCAACTCACCGTCGTTGTCAATATCGTCGTCACATTCATCTCCAGCTCCGTCATTATCCGTATCTTTCTGGTAAATGTTAGCGTCATACGGACAGTTGTCACAGTAGTCACCCACTTCGTCCGCGTCATAGTCCCGCTGGTAGGTGTTGGCAACCATTGGGCAGTTGTCCTGTTGGAAAAAGAACAAGTGAAAACCCAAAATTAATTTCAGTATAAATAATAATATAATCAGAATTACTAGTTTAGTGGCAAAAATAAAACCAACTTACCCTGTTGTCCGGTATGCCGTCATCGTCGTCGTCATCGTCGCACGCATCTCCGATAAGATCATTGTCCATATCTTCCTGTCCGCTGTTTGGTAAGTATGGACAGTTATCTTTCACACAGTGAGTGGTTTCGTCAATATCGAGGCAGTTGAGAGATTCGTCTGGCCATCCATCCAAGTCACTATCTTCGCCACATTCAAAACCACTTCCAGCATACCCAACCTTACACTGAAGATGATAAAAACAATTTACCGTGTTTTTTTTATACCAATCTGACTGCAGAAATAACGTAGTTTGACACTGTAAATGACGTAATAGAGATAATGCGATATGATTGTTTTCTATGTTCCATACCTTGCAACCATAGGGTGGCTCTGATCTAGGTCCGTAATATATACATTCAGCGTGATTGGCACAGTTATGAGTACGATCTCTGCAAGGATTGACAGGTTCACATTGCTGTTTGTTTGATGCTGCTTCTTCCACTCCAGAACCCTCGGGCTGGTTTCCACGGTAACCAATCGGACACGCCTCGCAGTGGTAGCCGCCATCGTAGTTCCTACACATATGTGCTCCTCCGTATCTGAAACACGCACTCGGCACCAATTTACACTGAAAAACAACAACAATCGATTACTTAGTGGAATTATCACCAATAAAACTTTAGGTTATTCAGTTTCAGTGAAAACCCCATTCATTGGTTGAAAGTTCTTGTTTATCAACTGCGCATGCTCACCTCATTAATATCTTCACACGTTTCCCCGTTGCCGGTATAACCAATTGGACATTTCCCACACGTGTAACTGCCATCGGGAAAGCTGGTACAATCCACATCTTCGAAACACGGATTTAACAGACAAGCATCTAAAAATAACAAACAAAAGCATTTAATACAAATACAAAATCCGATCAATAAATTGATATTGTTTAAAAATTAAATGAGAATGATTTCCCGGGAAAATAACCCGAGTTTGAAAAGAAACCTACCAATGGGACACGGTTGAATGTTGCAATTTCTGATTTGCGAAGGGCTCCCTGCACAATCACTGCCGCCATATGCTGGAGCTGGACTGTCGCAGCCACGAAGGCGTTCCTTGGTTCCACCATCGCAAGTCAGGCTACAGCTGCTCCATGGAGACCAGGCACCCCATTCACCATGCACTGTTAAAGTAAACAATTTATAAAATGTCCATGTACATTATATCACGAACTAACATTTGTGTTTTGTTGCGGGTAAACTTTTTCGGGGTTTGTTATTACAATGAAAGCGAGTAGCATGGCGTGTTTTTATAAAGTTAATGTGAGTTTATTTTGCAGACATTTAGCATTTCCTAAGTTGTTTCCATAGAGATGTTCTTAAGTGGTATCAGTCACGCTAAATGTCTCCGATAGCGTCTACGGACAATAGACTGGCTTGCACAGCTTTTTTGACTTCACAGGCGAGACGTCCCGTGGCTTCTATGATTTTCAGGAGAAAAGAAAGAGGACGCCTGGTATCTTAAACTCTCGTAAAATATCTCAAACTCTCGCGATGTTTTACCTGGGCATGGATCCCGACTACATGCTCTATTTTCTCTGTTTGGTCCATCACAATCGTCTCCGCCGAGTTGCGGTCGCGGAGAATTACACATACGTATACGAGTCTCAAGTCCCTCACCGCAGGTTACGGTACATGTCCATGGCGACCATAAGCTCCACCCACCATCAATTCGAACTGTAGAACAATAATATCCAGACAAATCCATTAAGTTTTTTTTTTGGCAGAAGTATTGAGGCGCCACTCGTGTCAATGGTAAAGTAACATTATATATAAAACAAATTATAATATATTGTATACCAACCTTTATCGTCACAATCCTTTTCGACGCATACTTTGGTTTCAACGTCACTTCCTTTGCAAGGGTAGTTAATAGTGTCACATGACCGTCCTCGCTGCTGCCTCCCGACACCACACGTCACGGAACAAGGCGTCCAATCAGACCAGGCGCTCCAGCCATCAACTTCATCATTCACTGGAAATGAACAAATAGAAAATATGTCATTATTACGTCACACGATCGAATAAGTAAACATAACTTCGGCATGATGATCCTAACATTTCATTTTATTTGTGAATATGTATCACTTACTAGAGCAGACCGGGCAGCATTGGTCTTCTAACACCACTGGCTCTTTACACGTGACTACGGGGCACTCGATAAGGCTGCATGATACTTTTGAATCCTGTGAAGCAAGAGACAGAAACAAGCGTAAGTCGCGTAAATTAATTGTTAAGTGCGTATGCGTGTTTTTTTCAGCTGTTTGAACGTAATATTCGGTAAAAACAATATACACTCAATCATACCTTGCAAGAACACTTTTTGCATTTGTTAACGATCCAGTCACTGCCGTTACTATGAAAAATGCTGTCATAGAAACAACCTCCGTCTGGGGGTGCACCAATTATTCTTTTCAGTTCCTCGGTTTCAGCCCCCATTCTGTCGACCTCATTGAATATATCTATTAATTCCTTACATGTATACTGGCAATCATAACGGAAACCATTGTCTACGTTGTTATCTATCGGCGAGGGCGTGGTTGGTACTGTAATAAAGACAACATCTTGATTATGAGTTTTTTCTAAATGAATGGCGCCCTCACTCGAGGTGTCGCTTGCCGTTTTTGAAGCCGTCGATGGGTGAGAGTTGTTAGGCCAAGTAGCCTGTGTACATTGCCAACTACAATCACTGGCTAAGCCTTTGACCAGTTAACAGATTGCCCTTCTATGGTTCACATGGCGGTTCATGATGTAATGAGGAGTGACAACGGGTTTTCCACTCGATAATCAGGGTTCAGTGAAGAATATACAAAACACCCCTCGTGAGAAGAATTGGTAATTATTACATCCACCTGGTTTCATTGAGTTTCCCAGACTAAATGAAAGAGATCCTTTGTAATGCGATGAATAGTAAAAGAAAAAAAAATCAACTTTCATGTTGGTATTTGGGGCGTAGAATTGTTGCTCTCTTGCCTCGGATCGTGAGTAGAATGGTCGTGAAGACAATAAGTGTTAGAAAGACACAACTCAAACATCATGAATGTCAATTGTGAACACATACTCGGTTATTTTGATGGACAGTGCAACTATAAACTAGCTTTACATGCTTACGTAAAATGTCAGGGGTTTATACTCCCCAAGTACCGTCTATATTGATGGCGTTAATTGAAAAAGCGCGTAATCCGCCAGTGTGTCCTTCAGCGGTAAATACGACGTATGAATGACAGGTATACGCGGTGAGAAATCTATCGAGGGCAATGCCACATGTAATCTACATACGTATACGCGCGTTTTTGAGGCGAGCTATATTCAACTTCGCTAAATCAACAGAGTTGTGCTAGTATGACAGTTACTCGAAGACTTTTTACCCAGGGCTTATCAAGCCAATTTCCTCTAAATATACAGCCTTAAGCAAGTGAAATGACAGTTGTATGGACTGCCTTTAACCATGACCTTCATTTACAATACTCGTAGATACAATGACACATTTGTGATTATAAATCGCAATTGACGCGGTAAACACTCTAAATGGCCATTTGAAAAGCCATGACGCGAGCAACGCCAAAGTGCCCGGAGAACATTTCCCACCGAGATTCCATGATTACCGCTAAGAATTTCAAACTTTTTCGAAAGGAATCATTCTACTTCCGGTTTCTAATACGTTACGTACTTATTCACAGGCCATTTATGGCATATTATATTACGTCATTATCGATAAATTTCGAGAGCACCCAGAGTGTATCGAGGGTTTTCGACCTTTTCTTCGCCACAGTTCATCGAGTTTCACGCTCATTAGACGATACAGAATTCGTAAATATTTCCGTCATTTTCCACAACCTCTCGTCAAATCGATTTGTTTCCCGGGCGACGGTTAACTTCCAACCTACTGGAAAGTTTACGCGCTCTAGAATGACGTCACTAGTTCTAAATATAGCGAATTGAGTCTGGGTTAATGGGAGGTTTTCGTGATATTTTGCAATATTTTCAATGTAGTTCATCACAGGAAAGTGTTCGTTTCCATGTCCACCTGTTAATAAATACGAGCGATAAGTATGCTCTGATCGTAATGTGAGAATCTGTTTGTGGCGAGCAACATTTTATTATATAGAGCAATCAAGTTCCAAATATAGACTTACGCAGAGACGTAGATCGCGATGACTCACCCATTTGTCGTCGAAGTTATAATATTAGAAGGCAAAAGAAAATAGAACATGAAGTTTTTTTTTCAAGTGGGTAGAGTTACGCCACCAGATAGGCTTAACAACTTCGGCAGTCTAAGCCAAACGGTGCAGATTTACATCGTTAATAACAACGTCGCACCCTTGCCACTCTTCGTTTTTTTCATAAGACTCAAGTGGCAGAAATTCTTTTTGAGCACTTCATAATACTAGTACGACATTTTTTTTCACTCAGCTATGTGGATTAGTTCTGCGCTGGTACTAGCAAGATGTGTGGACGACGAGGCTCTAGAAACGCGGTACTAAGAAATCGTCCGCGAAAACGGTGTTTTTTGTGTAAAAAATATATAAAGAAAATGCGATAAGATGTAGTTAATTCGGGAACATGTAAAATATGCACGACGATTACGCCGTCAGCTAATCAACGAAAAATAACTGAATATTTTACATAACGTACGAGTCATCGTTGCTCGGTGTTGCAATATTACCGCGCAGGGACGTGGGAAATTAGCGGATATTCAAGAGGGACAGCGGGAACAATAGGGTAGCTGGTTGCCATCAACTACGGCGTAAGCGAGGTCACGTGTGTGGCTATTAACTTGCTTCCAGTTATTTTTTTTTTAATTTGGCGTTCAATCGGAAAATTAAGCAACAAACAGAATCTTTCAAACAGCGATAGACAGAAAAATGAGCCGGACAGGAAAGAAAGCCTGGCCGAGAGTTTCCGGTCCCTGGCTCCGCATGGATGATCAGCTCTACATAGGAATGTTGTTTTTTACATAATTATTGGCATGTGCTCAGCTACTGGTTAATCGCATAGCACTAGTGGTGAAGAAATGGCCATCGGCGATTTCAACTTCGAATGCTACGTTTTCTCTCATCGCTGAATACACACGATAGTGCCGTTAGCAATCAGTTCGAGTAAACAGAAAATATAATTATTGTAAATAATTTATGTATGTTGCAATTTCCGTCATTCATTTACGGCGTGATTCAATAGTCTACCTTCAATCGGCATTCTTTTCGATGGGCAAAACATAATTCACCAAATGTGGTCACGTGATTGTCGGGATTGCCAAACAGATAAAAGAAATCGACGGATCATAACAGTATTCTTTTTGTGTGTTGATATTTTTTACACAAATCGTTGACAGTAAATCTATTACGTTTCGGTGACCCTATCCTGTTTTGTTGAAGCTAAAAAACAATGTCAACTGGGTCTGGAACGTGAAGACAAGCCGCCACACTGGCTCTAATTACCACCCGGGGCACTGTTTTTTCCCGGTCATAGGAAAAGTGGAATGCGTTGCCAAACTGTTTATTCGCCAATAATAATCACGGCTGATGGGCTTCAGAGTAAGCATGCTAACCTTTTTACACAGCTCGATGTATATTCCGTTCTACTTATTGGTACAAGCCGTACTGGGAGATATACCAAAGCCCGCAAAGTCGACTTCCAACCAAGAGCTCTGATAGAGCCTGTCCATTGTTCTTTGACAAAGTATCGGGTGACCAACACCGTGTTAGACTTCAAAATATTGGCAACGGTTCATTAAAACTCTGCCGTATAGGTTAGTATAATGCATCATTTGAGTAATTAATGTATGAGCACTGTGGTTGTTTTTACCCCAAGTGTAACTTATCTTTTATTTTCATTTTGGCGCCAGGCGTTTTTTACCAACCAATACGTTAGATCTTGATTTTATCATTTGCGTTTTTATCGATTTTATGAAATTCTTACCTCCGTAAGCCCCACATAACAATTCATCCATATTGTCCTTTGTACTGTGTCGATGCACGTTGGTTAGTTTATGCTCAATTTGGTCTGTATGCGCTTTTTCTTAAATCAAAGGGCAGAAATTGCTAATCTTTACATCGGAAATATGTCGCTATCGGCGTGTGTACTTAACAGTTGTCAGCCTGAAATGTATATTTAATAAACCGGTATTTTTCAAACGTTGCCCTGTACACGGTGTTGTCAAATCCACCTTTATAAGTGAGGAGTAAAACACCACTCTCCGGTATTATACAGGTAACAATATTACGGTCACGGGGGTGTGCAGCGGAGCGATCCAAACGTAAACAAAACCCGATCCAGTAGTTTCTTGGCAAATGAGTGTATAAAAACGAATTATTATTGTACATTTTAAGTGTAGTAATTTGTTAATTGTCCGCTAATCACGTTACAGCCCATCCATCAATCTCAAGAACACGGTTTCTAGTTCAGGCCAATAGCGGTGAAAAGACACGCTCCTGGTTGACCGGTAAATACGGGTGTCGCGATCTCTTCACCCCTTTATCAAAGGACTAATTGCCACCCATTTTAAAATCTAAAGTGTTAAATCGTATCATTTATCAAGTTGAGTTATACCGCCTATCGTATTTATTTTCATATCGGGTGCCAAACAAAATATATGATTCCTGTACTATACAATTACGCAACTAAATAACGGAATGCATCATCTCAATTTTCTGGTGCACGCCCGCTCTCTTTGATCTTTTATCCAAGTCCTTTAAAGTAGGCCCAACTGTTTTCCGTCTTAAAAAGTTGGAAATTTATCCGTTTCATTGGCCTGCAGTGTGCCGCCCGACCGCACTAGATCTGCCTATGATAGGCACTGCTACACTCTGAAGTATGCCTATAATGTCGCCCTACTTGGACATTTTCTCCTGATACGTGAAAGGCCCCGGAGACTCTCGGCAAAAAGAATGATTGGCTTCATGTCAAATTCGAACACGTTTTCACATGTTTTGATTTTGTGAAACAAAGGAGCACAATTCTTATATCTGCTGAGTGGATACTTACCGAATGGTCTGAGCTCTTCTGGGCAACCTTGTTCTGCGAGATAAGTTTCGTACGAGGCTTCAGTGATGAACTTAATGTTTTGGAGAAGTCCCTAAAACACGAGAACATTTTTTTACATTATACCGATGTATACTTTACGCAGAACAAAATAGAGAGAATACTATCTTCGAATGATCATGTAATTATCAGGTAGAAATATCACGTGGGAAAATCATCCTTATGTGGAAATGAGATATCGATATCAAGTTCGCTGTGATAATTTGAGAGTTGGAGAGTTTTAATTGAACCCAATCACCCGAGGGCTTACAATATCCCAACGACAAACACTGTGGTTTACCTTGAAATTTCTGACAATGGCAGTGTCTTGCGCCCCCTGGACGATCTGCAGCGAGTAGCCCTCTGATTGCATATCCATGTAGAACGGTGTGTGCAGGGTAAGAAGTCCCACTCTCTGGCAATCCACATGTAACACGGCAACGGAGTCAGCTACCACGAGAGTCATGTTGTGCCACTGCCCATCGGCTAAAGTAACGCCGTTAAAAGTGCCCAGCATCTCAATCGGTGTATTAGTATGGTCTTGCATCGTGTAAAACAAGTCGACTGAGTTGGTCTTAGTGTTGCTGTGAAGACCGAACTGCCGCCTGTTGCCAACTTTAGAGTCAATCGAGACTAGACTACCTCGGTTGCCCCGGTCTTGCTTAAGAGATGTGGTAAACACAAAACCAGCATCGGTCCGCATTGATTCAAGAAGTTCTTTTAGAACACTATCTGGTGCTGTCAGGCTCACGGGTGATTTCAATCTAAATTTCAATGCTAAGGCATTTGGATCTGGCCCGGCTACCTTTCTCACTCCTTCTGTATTTTCATCCACGCCCACCGCATCAAATAAGTCGATTTCTGTAAATGTGAGAAAAACAAATACATTACAGAAAGGACTCAGGACATGGAAATCGATACATATAATCAAACAATATACATACTGAATGCAAACTGCGATTCAGGGAGTTTAAAACGAGTAACTCTTGGACGAGGTCCACTACAATACTGTTTATCAGGTGAAGACATTAGCTTTCAAAATAAAGCATTGTCTGGATAGGTCACTTGCTGCCAAATTCATAGTTTTGTTGACCCATGCTTTGTTTACCGCCACAGGTGAAGGGAAGAAAATATCTGTCCTTTAAATGATTCAAATTTCAATGTGAACGGAATGCTAAAACTGACTTCGTTCCCACTATCAGAAGTCTCACTGTGGATAGCTGCAGCTAAAGACCGTTAAGAAGTGAGAGCACGCACATCGCGATTCAAATGATAACATGTTACAAACAACAAGATTGAGATAATCGGCGCAAAAAACAAAACAAAAACTTGATAGTTTGCTCACCTTCTGAAAGGCACGCTGCGACAAGGAATGTAACGAATATAAGTAAAGGCGATGACAAATGCCGCGTAGACGATGATAATATCGCCACCATTATGACGACAAATGATTTAAAAATATGGGCTACCTAGGCCACCTAGTACAACAAACAACAAACAGAACAGCGCACAAGGTATTCTGAAAACAAAAAGAAGAAAGACCGTAAATATTGAATTATCCCAGCGGCAAAACGAGATATACATAGTCATGCGAAGTGAAAATATTATGTTGTTATGCAGGCCGGAGTTGTGGACATTACATATACTTACTACTGCAAAAGTTGCCGTTAGTCACTCCGATCTATATATAGCTATACGTTCCTATACAAGAGTAGTAATACTGTTGCTCGCTTAAACCAAAGTGCCTCTGTCTGAAAGCCTGAGTCGAATCTACGTGCTTATATAGAGGGACAGACAGGTTGACGTGTTGAGCATATGTCAATCACAAATATCAGGAAGTGCTACTTTATATATGAAAGCAATGGCAGACGACTCGGTTCTCTCCCATGGGGGGCATTGAATCATATAGCTGCACTCCCAAGTCGACACCGGTTCCTGTCAACGCTTTCAACTACGTGACACTGTAAAATAGTTGCCAGCCAATAGCTAGCCGGCATCCGTCGTTACCATTCTCGTTACAAAGGCGGGTCAAATTAGAATACCAGACATTCCAAACATGGCTTACTAACCGCGGCTTCAGTCGCAGGAAGTGGGCGGTTCGAGTAGGAGGGACTTTTTCACAGGTCTGAGCCAATAGCAATCGTGAAGTGTTCCGTCGATCCATGTTATCCACCCACGGTTGCATTCATGAATAACCCAGTCACACAACGTGTTTATTTCTATAACGTGTGTGGAATTACCGCCGGGCTAAAACAAGCCTATATAGTTTGCCTTAATTGGGCCTCCATTGTTTCACACACACCCAACTTTTAGCATAATTTATATAAAGAATTTCATCTCCGTCGCGAGCACGGGCTGCCGTAACACTCCACCCAGTACACGTCACTTACTATCTTTAGTGTGTGTAGTAATGGGTCGCAGTGAACTTAAACCATAACTCGACAATTATACTACAATGGCCAGGTAGTGGTTTCCACGGAAACCATAAAACATGGATCTTTCCGCAACTGGTACATAATACTCAAACCATAAATCAAAACATGTCTAGAGTGTCGGTCCACAGCCACAATGTACACAAGCGTTGTCACGTGAGAATTGATAGGTGGTCTGAATGTCTAAACATCTATGTTTCATCACCAAATTAATGTTAATTCAGTTGTCAATTGAATATGTGTGAACATTTATGTAAACATTGTGTCTGAGCATTATATTCGCCGGGGACTCGGCATATCGTGACCAAACGTTTGACCGGATAATAGTACATAGTAGTTCAAATACGTTATTAAAAAAAACTTAGTTACAAATACATGTATATAGAAACAGACATTTGTCAGATTCGGAGACAACGGAAATTCCGGGTTCAGGACCTTCTCCTTCAGCGACCCGTGGGCGGTTGGCACGAGTACAAACGTGAAAGATATGTCTTTAGATTGATTAGAGAAGCATTTATTAATCATGAGAAGCGTCAACATAAAACAGGTAATTTGAGGTAATAAAACCTTGTGGTGACGTGATTCATTGACAGACAATTATTGGTCCGGACCAACGCCAGACTTTGCCATGACTGACTTTAAGGACATGCAGTATTATCGACAATAATCTATTTGAATATTAACTATGTCGGACAAGTCGTCGACTGCAGCTCTGTGCCTTAGGCAGTTAGTGCATTATTGGAGGCGTGTTGAAATTCCACTGAAACCTACTGTAAATAATGGGTTATGATTTAGCTTCGTTTCAGTAATAAGTAAAATCTAAGTAAAACTAAACCAACGCGTGAAATAACAATAGAACTCATTGTTTTCATGGAAAATCCGTGAATATATACCAAATATCAAAATAGTCAAATTAAATGCCAGCGATTTAATAGTTTCACGGTATCTCAAAAACGTCTATTAACCGTTGCCGAATTATTGAAATTGTGTATAAATTTAAAATTATTATTTTATCGAAGCGATTAGTTTCCTGTTTCGACTTAACGCCGCTTATCGACGCCGACGCACCGTAAGTGAAATGAGAGTATAACATAAAGTTGTACGCCAAGAAAATATATTGACTGAAGTTTGTTTTACGGCCTTGTTGGACAGTAACGATAACACGATAACAATTATATATCGCTTAAAATCAACCAATAAAAACAACGACACGCCGAACTTGAATAAAGTAAGTACACATGCGTAAGACCAGTAGCTGGAACGAGCGTGGCTGTGGAGGCATATTCGCATCGCGTTGATCTATTCAACTGGTAAAGTGGGTCACGGGTGACGGAACGCCTTAACTTTGAGACTGTTAGACGGTATACGGTTGAAAATAATAAAAACTCAGTATATATGTTATTTTTTTGAAGAAGGGGGGTCGTTAGTTTGTTGATCACCGTTGTTATTCGAGAAAGAAATAATACCACGCGTGAGTGACACAAATCAATAACTGTCGGAATAGTATATTCAGAAGTTGTCTGCAACTAAGACGGTGCAATGACCGAATGCATGGTGATAGACGGCTCTCCCCGTGAACCTCGCTACAACCCGATATCAGATCAGAAGACTTTGACCACCTGTGAGAAACCGAACGTGAACCGAGCCAGTTGAAGCATTCATTTATTGTTTGCAGTTAGTCCGCAGAAATTGGACAACTATTTCAGAGATTAATAGGCCAGAATAAAATTAGTCTTTTTTGGGCGGGGAAATAAATAGATTGAACGATTGATATATATATATATATATATAACTTGGTCTGACAGAAAATGAACGAAACACCGCCTAGACAACTTGCGAGTAGGTGGTATTTGTTCAACTACAAACTGGAGTAGATCACCCAATATCGGTACATAGCATTCGATTTTAAACAACTGTACTGTACTGAATCATCACTGCATGGACGCTGTGCATATTTGAGATTTGACGGATTTAAAAGAAAGAAAAAACAAGGCACAGAAGAAAGAAAAACGATTTACTGAATAGTGAACGGTAAACAACTGGAGGTGTGCTGCTTGTTTTAGAAATGACTTCTACTATCAGCGATACCGCTGTAGTGTTGGTTCACTTTGTGACGTCATACGCATGGTGAAAGTCACCGCACCCAATCACTATTCACAGCACAAAGACGATGGCATTTCATATAGACTTGATGGAACAGCACGTGTCATCCAAAGAAACTCACTATATTGGTTGGTTATTATGGCGATCACATGCTTCTCTCTCGTTATGATATTTTCACATTTTAAGAAAATGGATGTAATTATGGTGACAACAGGTTATCTGGAAGTTTAGATATTGGCTAATATGGTAGTACTAATGTCCGTCTAAGGGATTATCTGACGTTCAATTTCGTAGTCAAAAAAAATCGAAAAATGGTTTTATGCTTCCGGGGTTTCCGGCTCAACATTCATTCCAGCGTGTAATATCTAAAAACAAAGGCTAAAAAACAAGACGCTGTCGTCCAGCCTAAATTTTTACGACCGTGCCGTGAAATTGACATGTCATTCGCCTGGCTAAATGGTTTACATTGGTACGGCATATGCAATACCGTATTCGTCTATACAAGCTTTCAGATGATACATAGTTTATTATTTTAGTAGTAAGCTTGTTAACGTCTAGGGAATGTCTGAATCACAGATCGATTTTGACTTGTTTTTTATTCCCTGTTGTTACCTAGTTAACATTATATTTTTATATTTATATCTATTTTTTAATAACGGCCGGGTATGACCATTCGATATTCCCGACTAGGTTGGCGCAGTGCACCATGGGCGACCTTTGTGCCGCTTACTTCGGGAGGAATTCGGAACTGATCGACTATCGGGTGCGGTCGGGAGGAAATATCATGGCCAGAGTTCCAGCCCAGACCGTAATATCAACGTAACTTTTATGTATATAATTGAAAACGGAAGCCTCGAGTACCTTGAGGTACTGAAGGATACCACGCGCGGTTTAGATATTTAAAAATGAAGTAATAATTAATAAGGACATCCACCATCACGCGTCGATGGGTTGTTAGCATGTCCGCTCACACACAATGGCTTTTTCGTTGCTGATTCACATGCGCTCGACGAGGTGTTTATAAATGAACTGATAATTCATTGAGGACATCCACCGTCACGCACCGATATATGTCCGATCACCTATACGATTGTTTCCTCATGGCTGAATCACACCATCGTTCTGCTTATGCAAGAACTAACAATGGCCGGCTTGATATTTTTTGATAGATCACAAAAAGATCCTCTTATTAAAGCAATTTTAGTGTATTTGTACGTGTTGAATAACCAACAACAACACAGTACTGTGTTTGTTTCTATTGTACATGACTTGGAAGACTGTAAGTCGTTGTTTACTTATGTTTGTGTACAGTTGGGCGTGATTTGTGTGTCAGATCTGTGAGTCTGGAAGGGCTGAAATCTACAGGTGGCAACAACCTGGAACTTCGAGATAACACAGAAAACGACAGTCTACTCTCGCAATCTCTAACCATCGCGCGTGAGTTTAATGACAAGATTATTTGACTGTTTCCACTGGTTTTGTTATTTAACAGGTTCAGTTTTTTAACAATCAGTTGAACTTTCCCCGACAAAGCAACCACCTGTGAACATTTACAATTAATATATTACATAAAAGCTCTACCGCTTGTATTAATTTATTTTGACTTTATATAACAAATTAATACAACAGCTATGATGTTGACACAATGCCAGTCGCAATTATTCTGTTAATGGAATAACTTGCACAATATTACGTGTATAATACAATTATGGTTGCTTCAAGCTTCGAAGAATTATACTTTTGTGTTCCTGAAATTATTACTAACGCAATTTTTAAAATATTTTTTTTTTTACAATCCAGTAATATCCGGTGGAACAGAAACCCAAATTTGGTAGCGAATCGTGGTTTCATTCGCCTTCCATTTCCGCCATTTTAAACATTTCCGTGGATCGCTATTTTCTAAAACTGTTTCCAGTAGTGTGACGTAACGCCTATCAGCATAGCGATAAGTCTTCATTAGGCAACTAATTCAATCCCATAGAAGAGTCGAGTTTCGCATTAACCTAAATAAACCCTATATTCGGCACGGTTCCGTGTAAAGCGATACATGGAAATATAATTATCTCGAGTCAGTGGCGCACAGTGAGTGGCGTGTTAATGAACACATTCACTGTTCAAAACAAAGTTGGCATTCATTTGGATAATTCCAAACACCCAGCTTCCTATCATTTTTTCTCCGTCAAATACTGCAAAACACAACTTCCTTT